TTTAGATAATCGTCACTGGGTGTTGGTGGCCGTGAGCGGGAATCGAACTCGGGTGGCCGGGTTCGTAGCGCTAACCGCTGCGCCACCGCTCCACATCACTGACAACCCCCCCCCCCCCCCCCAATCAACACTGAACACGCAAACCCCCCCATATCTACAGACACATTGAACCCCCCCCAACCCCCTCCATACAAAAACACTGAATCCGCGCCCCCCTCCGCCTCAATACACACACCGGTGACGTCATCACGGCGCCTGTGCCAGGCCAGGTGCACTTGGAGGTCACACGTGAAGTGTCGAAGGCTCGCTGGCAGCAGGACTACGGTGGAAACACCAAAATAAGCCCGTGATAGAGACGCACTGAACGCGTACACACACAATCGCCCGCCCCACCCCCCATTCACTGAACCTTCTCTCCCCACAGAAATTGAACACTGAATCTGCCCCCCCCCGGCAACAAACACCCTTCAACACTCAACACGCACAACACTTAAGCACCCCCCCCCCAATACACATCATATAGTGACACCCACCCCAAGATCAATCACTGAATCCAGCCTCCCCCCCCCTCCCCCCAAAAATCCTCCGTATAGCCTTTAACATATCGTTGTAGCAAGCGCTGTTAGCGAGCACCTACGAAGGCTGAAACCGGCAGACGAGAGGGGAGGGGGGGTGCGTGGCAAACGCCACGCCCGGCCGTCTTTGTCTCCCCAGTGCTGATGTTTACACCACGAACCAGGGTACTCATTTGAGAATGATTCGACCTTGGCGACTCCCAGAACCGGTTCAGGTGTTATAACCCACACACACACACAAAGCGCGCACACACACACACAAGGCCACCCGTCCCTCCCCCCCACCCCCCACACACACACCGCCTCGACCCCGGGGGCCGCAGGACGCGAGAGTCGAGGTTAGCGCTGGGGCTGCGGACCGCGCGGGGCCGCGCCGCGCCTCGCCTCTGCCCTGCTCCGACGCTGCCCGAGCGCGGCGCGGAAAAAAAGGGGGCCCCAACGTCCCCCGGACAGCTCGCACTCACCATCATCATCATTAGCAGCAGCAGCATCTGCGCTATCAGCAATCAGCACGGCGGCGGCGGCGGAGGTGGCAGCAGCTCCCGCTCGGCTCTCAGCAGCAGCAGTGAGGCCCGTGACGTCACCGCAACATGCGGGGCTCTGGAGATGTTTAGACGACGTCACAAACGCCGTGACGCCACCGCGCACTGCTCACAGCGGGGTGACGTCATGCGCAAAGTTGTTATTTTTTTGCATTGGTTTAAACGCGTCGGCTTTCGCGACCAATGTCATCGATAATACAGGTTTTGGATATTCTGCCAGCAGAATATAAATTTTATGGATGTTCTGCTCGGGCGCGGTCGAAATGGTGAAAATAACATAAAACGCACACCATCACCCCGCACAGAAATCCTCTCTCATCAAGATGCTCGTACATCGGGCTAAGAAAGTGTCAGATGGTGATAGTCTGAGAAGTGAAATTAGGGGCCGTCCATAAATGACGTCACGCACCTAGGGGGGAGGGGGGTCAGACATTTGTGACGATGTGTGACGAGGGGGGGGGAGGTTTGAGAAATGTGACGTCACATCAAAATGCGCAACTTTAAATAAATATAGAATTGTTACAACACTAATTTTGATTAATTTTCATCATTAACTATTTGATTATTTAAATTACTAAGGTCACCTTTTATTTATTCCATGAAAGAGCATTTTGCTTCTCGATGGTAGAATGGAGAAGCATACATTTTGTAAAAAAATGTAATGATTGTTATTAAACATTTGATTCTAATGATTCTACCAGGGCTTTTCATTCTGTGAAATGAATGTGATTGTTATAAGTGTACTCTCCATTTTGCTTCGTTCTACTACAAAGTTTCAAGTATTTTTTTAGTTGTAATTACTTTTAATATTTTATAATTACAAGATAATTTCAATATTATATTCTGAACATCTGCAGTTTTAGTTAGACGTTGAATATTTAAAAGTGATTTTTATGCTAAATTTCAGCTTTCCAACGCCTTTTTAATACGTGTTTTCTCCTACAACATCAAAGTGCAGCGCCACATTAAATACGCACTACAATGGCAATAGTTTAAAGCGATTTGAAGCATGTTTTATTTTCAAAATGGAAATATGGTTTGGGGGGGGCAGAGCTTTGTGACGTCATATTTGAGGGGGGTCTGACTTTTTGTGACGCCGTGTGACGAGGGGGGAGGGGGGTCAAAAATCGGCCAAAATCACGTGACGTCATTTATGAACGGCCCCTTAATCGTGTTAAAGAAGCGCTGCAATTGAACTGTTACAATGATATACAAATCAATAGGGCATTGAATGCCAAAAATAAATCAAATAACAGAATGGTTAAAACTGACCAAGTAATTAAAACTATTAAAATAACGTACATTTGCCGGAGTAACTGATAAACTAGCCAGATGTTTGGAAAAACAAAACATCCGAGTCTAACTTGGCACGGTACATAAAATACAGAAATTAATATCTAGTACAAAAGATGTATTACCGAAGCTATCAACAGAAGGTGTGTACCGGATTAATTGCACGTGTAGCAAATGCTATGTTGGGCAAACAGGACGAATGATCAGCACGAGAACAAAAGAACACCAAAGGAACATTAAATACTCACAACTGTCGGCAGTGGCAGAACACGCGTGCCAACAAAGACACTCAATTCATTTTGATCATGTTTAAGTTGTGTGCAAAACTAGTGACTACTGGCCAAGACTAATTAGATAATCTATCGAAATTGAGAGAAATAAAAATACGTTTAACCGTTCGGATACGTATAGACTTAGTTCATTGTTTACATTGTTTAAATGCATGCCTATACAGGTCACCATACTTCAATAGGGATTACCCTTGAACAATAACAGTGCACACATTCAACAGGAGGTACAAGAACAACGGGCTTAAATAATGTGCATGCATAATGTGCTTGTATTACCATACAAATAACTCAACCGGCAATGCATACCCAAAGTCATTTATATGCATTCATGAATCCCCCACCACCACTTCGCGCAAGAAGAGCACACAAGTGACGTCATCACATCTACCCCTCTATTTAAGGAACGAAAGAGGAGGATTTCTCCACAAATCTGGCTGTCGCCTGATGAAGTTAGTTGTAATTACTGGCGAAACATCGTACTTAGATGTAAATGGTATGGCTTTGCTCTCCAACACACCAGTGTGCTGTACAGTACTAGTAACTCATTTCTTTGTTCTGTTTACGTGACAAACCTTACTAATTGGCTGTGTCAAGTGGTGGCGGGTTTAACGACACATTTATATATTTGTAATGACATGGTGACAACTCCTGCCCGGGAAAGGGAATCACGGCTACGGGCACGGTTAAAGTAACAACCAATCAGAGAAGGAGAGGTATCTGGGGCAAAGGTAACGGGTGGGGTTAGCCGAGATACTCCGGGAACCTGCTCGAAGGTTCCACGAGAGGGCGTGGCCAGAAGCGGGGCCTAGCCACGCCTGGGGGGATATAAGGGGGAGCAGACCTGGGGCTCAGGGTTCGTGTGTGGAGTCTTGGGTTCTAGCTGCGTCACTGCTCGCCGACATCTCTCTCTCTGTCGTCCGGCCACGTGGAAGATTTCCTGTGGGGTTTTCATCGCCATCACCGTCACGCCGCCAGCCAGCGGCGTAGCCGAGTGAGGGCGGTGGGACCACGCCGAGTGATCGGTTGTGTGTAGCCAGTAGATACGTTAATATCTAAGTGTTGTACTCAGAGTGAGAATAAGAAGTGTTGGCCTGTGTTGTGCCCAGTGTGAGAAATAAAAGTACCCTCTACTTGACGTGTCGCGGAAGTCGCTCATTACATATTTATGCGATCTAACCCAAAAAACCTGTATTATGAATAGTTTTGCCTTGTTTGGGTGGTAACATGATGCCGGCCAGCTAAATTATTTTATCTCTTATCTTACACTCATTCACCTAGGAAAGACTCGTCAAGTCTAGACTCCTTTTCGGTAAAGGGCCTGCCAAATCTTCCAAATTTGCCAATGTCACTGGTTACGCCACCATAACTTGTTTACGATTACTGTACATCATGTTTACACCTAGCTCACTGGATGTAAATTGTACAGGCCATTTGCCAATTCACTGCTGGATGATTGGAGAGTGTTTTTTTAACCAGTTCACCACGCTGGTCAGTATGGTCGGTGAAAGCCACGAACATACACATTGGAGCAAAGTAGAGTATGGATTTTGCTGCGCCGCCCCAATTCGTAGCGCACTGGAGAGACGGTGCGATGAAATCAGCTGGTGCGCAGGTCGTCGGTGGATTGCTAACATCGCATGATCGTGAGATGGCTTGGAAAGGCATTCATCCAGCGGTGGATAGATTACAGCGGATGAATGAAAACATAAACGCTCCACAACCAGGGACACCCACTCAAATACCATCAACATCAAGCGCCATTTGCCACATAGTGGTGGTGACGTCACCACGGCTCTTGTGCCAGGCTAGGTGCACTCCGAGGCCACGTGAAGTGTCAAAGGCTCGCTGGCAGGTCACAGAAAAGATCCAGGTGCCATAGGTTCACTGAGATGACTGACAGATGCACCAACTGTGCCCTCTGCCATACAATTATCACCTGGGGCACACATGCACGCAATGTAGAAAGCCTCCTCCAGCAATGGGATAGACCGCTGCTGATTGTAATCAGCTGATTGTAATCAGCCGCGGTCTATCGATAATTGTCAATTTGCTTTCGTCGACAATAATTGTCGACGAAAGCAAAGCAAAAAACATGAAACGCGTGGATCTCATCCAATCAAAATCCACCTCTGACCCCCCCCCAAGCCAATCAGATTTGTCGCCGCGGCATAGGAGGGCGCGGCACGTATTCCGTGTGGGCAAATCAGAGGCGACGAATTTGTCGCGCGCAAAGCCGAGGGAAAGGGCCAATCCGGCGAGGCGGCCTGCGCCCACGTGTTCACGCACGTGGGCGCAGGTCGTGTGTGTGGGGGGGGGGGTTGCGCGGCGCGGCGCGTTGCTAACCCGCGCGGCTCAGGTACGGCGCTTCCCATTGGCTCGGAGCGCCGTACGCGCGCGCGTTCTGTAAGGGCGCGCGTGACTGGTCGAGGTGGTAAATTGCGCGGGAACGCGAGCAGACGAGCGTTGTGGGGCGGAAGTTCTACGCCGGTGCGTGCGGCGTTATCGCCGCTGTCGCCGCTTTGTCTTCTCGCTCGCGGTTTGGCCAACCGTGAGTCGTGTGATAGCGCGCCACTCGCGGTCGGGTTAATACAGAGGCGCGCGCGGGCCACGCCGCCTGCATCATGCTGTCACCCTTGAAGGCCAAGCGCAGGGTGAAGGCGCCCGAGCGGAGCGGAGGAAGCAGCAGCGGGTGCAGGGTTAGAGGCGGAGCAGCCAGGGTAGCTGACGGTGGTGGATTTTGCGTGAGGGGTGATACTCAGGCTAGTGATGGTGGTGGGGGTGGAGGTTCACGTGAAAATGCAAACGCCTGCTGCACTGGTAAAGACGGGAGCGTGGAAGGAGAAGGAGGAGGAGCAGCAGCAGCATCGGCTTCAGGACGGGATGTGGCCGAGAGTGACCGTGAAGACGCAGTTGGCGGAGGCGAGGACTTCCCCGAGTTGGCGGTCCTTCCCGATAAACTTCGCCAGCGGCTGATGCCCTTCCAGAAGCAGGGCGTCAGGTTCGCGCTGGAGAAAGGCGGCAGGTGGGATGCTGCCATAGCTGTCACCTTGAGGTCCATCCGGAGATCCATGCTGAGATTCGTGGAGATCCACACTGAAACAAAGAGGACACATTGGGATCCAAAGAGTTTCACACCGAGATCCATAGGGTCACATTGATAGTATAAAGGGATACACAATGAGGGCCATGGACTTTCACACGTTCAATGAGTGCCAGTTATCGTGTAAAACCCTAAACGGCGATTTGGAGGCACAGTTTGGCACCCACCTGCATGGAAACAATGAGCCTCTTAGGTACAGAACAAGCAAGTAGATTTGTGATGTGCACAACTCTCCTTGCTCCCGTTTTCTTTTCATCAGGACGTGCATCTTGGTCCGTTGAAAGGATGAGTTTCTAGACTCGTACAGGAGATGATTGGTCAATGTCTCAAGTGTGCACATATACTGCACTTGAGACATTGACCATGCATCTCAAGCGAGGCCCCTCCTGAATTTCAATCTAGAAACCTAAGCCAAACAATGGATAAAGAGACGTACAGTGTGTGTGAGCTAATAAGCGATGCCTTTATTTGTATGCGTGTTGAATTAATCGACGATTGAAACAAAAGCCACAGCTCAGCCCTTATCCACATAAACCATGAAGGAAGTGGTCATTGCGAGTTTTTTATGCATTGCTTGGCCATTCAGGATGTGCTTGAGGTGTGTGGGTAGCAGAGTTGAGCAGAGGGCGACGGCTAATGCAGAGAGGATTGCTTCATGCCTGCCCAAACCTCCACATTATCACCAACTCTCGGTATCCGCATGGTCAGTAGTAATTGGCAGTTGTCTCGTTACCTACTGCATTTGCCTTTCCATAAAAGTACTGAATATTTCATTTTTGTCATTGGTTTTGTCCAGAGACGAAACATTTTGTTGGGAACTTGTGCCAGATAATTACCATAGATTACTTTCCCGAAAATTCCAGCCAATATTTACGCCTCAGAACTGGAATACGTTTAGTTGTGTGAAAATAGAAAATTGAAAAATATATTGTTGCACCACTTGGTAATTGAGATCCCAGTTTAAGGGTCTGCTGAAATTGGATGCCGCATAATTTTTGTCCATTATGAACCGACTGAGCCACCTGGTCAGAACTCTTTGCAGAATGTTGAGACACCCACCTGCATTACTATGATGTGACCCGTAGAAGTCAGTGCATACAGCAAGTCGGCTGCTATACGAGTGCACCGATTTGTGTTATCTGCTCATGCTTGGTTGATTTTCTCAGGGTACTCCAGTTTCATCCCACATGTCAAACACTAATGTAGTTTACTTAAGATCCCTTTACAGGGCCCTTGTATAAAATATTTCTGATAATCAGTGAGGGGTTTACATATTACTTTTATTACATTATGTCATAATGCTGCTCACGTGATACTGTTTATAGCACACCCTTATTACAGCGGTGTTATTACCTTAATGCACTTTCAGGTCATAGGGCTTTACTGGCAGATCAACCAGAAGGACGTGCAACACAGTACTACTGTAGTTACACCAAACCGTAAACAAAACAGGACATTCGATCCTGGTATTAGTATTAGCGGGGTATAATTTAAGATTTGTCTTTGGCATACTACTGCACCATATCGCACTGAAGCTGAGTGACGGGAAATACATACTTTATGCACTCAGTTTTTAAAAACATGGAAATGAACACGCAGAAATTAGTCACTGCGTGGTCTGCCGTGTGAGAGAGGCTGCACCCCTGCATTCTAGTTAAACGTGGTGTTGTTTTCCACGTCAAATAAACACCTTTGATTCTAAATGCAGGCTCTGTATCCGGTTTTAAAATATATCTGTTATACCAGTCAGGAGTTTATCGCAGAGAAGAAGTGCTGGAGAATAGCGTGTACATTTCTAGCATCAATGTTTGTTTATGAATTCCTAAATGTGATGGGAATCAATGGAATGCCACCGCACGATGTAATTAGTTTTTTGTAGTGTTTTTTTTTAAATCGAAGTGACAACACATTGGCGAACAATTAGTGATCCTCGAAATGAATCTCTGCATGTTTGCCCAGTTACTACTTGCGTTGCCTTTACAACTCCATTCTGCTGAAAAATAACTTGTATTAATTATCTGCATGATTACAGTATATTCATTATATGTGGCGGTTGCTACAATTAATGTTTACAAATATATAGCTTGTCAGTAGATAATACATTGACAAACTGTAGATATCGTCTAAAATCTGAGTTCCGGTAATGTTGGTGGCGGTGGCTGCTTCAAAACAACTAAATATAGGAGGGAAAAAATGTGTCCAATTGTCGGCCCTCCACATGTCACAGGCGGCTTGCGTTCACGATAACAGGCGCTCAGGGGTTACGACACTAATACGTCCCCACTCGGCGCATTCAGTGGATTTTAGTGCTCGCATACACGCACCAGCTTATAATTTGCATGTCATCTACTCGCACTTATTAGTTCTGGATGGCTTATAAAGATGTATGTTCCTAAGTTGGAGTTTAATCATTCCCATTCAAAATGCAGTCTGCTTGGGAAACATTGATTCAGGCCAAGTTCATTGAAGGGTGTCCCATAGCCCAGCTAGCTAGCTGCCAAGTATGTGGTAATTGATAACTAAAGTACTGTACTATACGACCATTTCCTCTCACCGAATCCATCTACTCTGTAATGTTCAGACAGCGGGTTGCAAGGCAACTCGATTGCTGTAATGATAATATTAATTAAAAGGTACAGTTGTGCTGAGTTGCATTTGGAAAGTTGATCAAGCACCGTGTTTTACTCGTATAACTGCGATAACGAAGAATCGTCATCATATTAATTCCGTAATTGAGAATATGCAAGTGCTTTATTAACAATAGACAGTCACATTTCAGTTAACGCGAGTCGTTTCCTACTGAATGTACGTGTCTCAAACAGGCCAGTGCGTACAGATTTCTTTTAAAATGGGTTTCCTCAAATAAAAAAAAGCAATTTGTACCTATGAATATTCTAACATGCAGCATTACAGCGAATAACCTTCAGCATTCAATAGAAAATTTACCATCTGTCTAGAATATTTTATCATACTGTATTCAGCATTCCACATTTCCCCAGATTGTGTCAATCCATGTTAAGGCATATTTAATGTGTTTTTTTACATGCATTGTTTAAATTTACCAAATTATTTCACGTGCCATTTTTTGAATCGTGATACCAGGAAAGCTGGCAGTTGAAATTCAATCTTATTTTAAATTTCAAAGTAAATCCTGCCTACCCATTCCAAATCGTAATTGATATTTAATTGACACAGAGCACTTTTGGGCGCAATATACATGGTACTTTATCACTGGGTTTCCAATTACAAGTTTGAGAAATTACTCCACTTACATGATTACAAGCATATTTTTTTTTCAATCGCTTCAGCCCAAATGTTATTTTTAAATACAATATATTTCCTTAAAGTATTTTTTATCAAGGTAGATTTTTTGTAATAATTTTTCTGTCATACATTTTCCGAAACCATCATTAGTATTAGAAAATAATATTATTGTTCGTAGGAGCGCATGCAACTGCCTATAATACTTGCTTGTTATATAAATCAGCCGCAGTGTCAGAGATTAGAACATTTGTCAATATTAATTGCAGTGGCATGTGCGTTGTACGTGTGTGGCTGTTCACCATTTCTCTTACTTTGTGCCACATGGCCTTGTTATTGTGCATATACACATGAGGGTTTTTTGTTGGCTCTTCAGTCGACTCACTACGCAATCAAATGCTTGAATTACATTTGACAAAAAAGAATGCGGTGTATCCACGGTTACTGGAAATGTATCCCTACGTGGGTTCATGTTTAGTACATATGATAGCACTGCACAGCTGTAAAAAAATAATTAGACATCAGTGGTGATGAGGAATGCTTCAATTACAGTACCTTTGGAGTAAGATAAAAAATATATAGTCACATCCTTTAATCTATAAAGCACTTAAACTCCCAAGAGTATTATTTGCAGAGCAGTCATTAAGCACATCATGATGATGTTCCCTGAGTGGACATTTACCAAGTGTACTGGCTACGAGTCCTACCCATTACCTTTAAATTATTCACTTTAAATCTGGCGTCTGTATTTAGAGATCCATATGCATGCTTTGATGCCACCTTTGAGAGCCCCTTACGCAAGAGAATACACAATACATTAATAGTTATGCTTGCACGAACGGGTTGAATTTGCAATAATGTGATATGAAAGGAATAGGTGCTCTTTTGATTTAATTATTAAAGAGCCCTATTCCTTGGCCACAGCATTGAGTTCAGCTCGTTCCTTATCATTAAGCCCCTACACTCAGGGCTGCAGGGTGTTTCCATGTATAATTGAAAATTTAAATCTGATTTATTCATGAAACGGTGTGAACTGGTGAATGGCATGCACGGGTGCCAATGCCAGTGGACACCCTTGGCGAACCGCGGAAAGGGTTTTTCCTGTATAAAATGTAAACATATAAATATAAAAGTAAGCTACAGAGTACGATTGTGCGGTCAAATCCATCACGTTGTTGCTTGGTGCATCCCTGCGAGGGCCAGCTCTGGACATTGATGTATATACCCTGCTGGCAGCAATCTGGGGCACCGCTGCGCAGAGACAAGTAGCCCAACGTGTGAGTGTGCAATTAACCTTAACGGGAGAGAACACGGCGAAAGTGGCGATTCATTTGTTGTGCGGCAAAACATGGGCCCAAGTGGCCGCTAGCAGAAATAAATCTACGTGAATGTCCTCATTCACATTAATTCGTTTTCTATATCAAGTATCATGTTATGTGGTTGCCTTTGAGAGAAAGTGCAACCCTTTGTACCGTTGTTGAAAATATTTAATCACGTTTATCAATAACGATGCCTTAAATGAAAATTATATGAAAGGCGAAGTTTTGGATGGTGGCCTTTCTTCATTACCTTTGCTGGCTTGTTCTTCGCACAATGAAGTTGATGATGCCATCATTCATGTGCATTGGTGATTTTATTAAAACTAATTTTGATATTTTTTTAAAGATCATCGATGTGTTATTGCTCATGTAAATGTTTCCCTTGTGCCAGGTGCATGATTGCTGATGAGGTAAGGTGTGCATGTTATGCATTCTTTCATATGTATAAACCTATTAAACAACTGCATTCTTTAGTAGCTTTATTCAACCATGTGGGGATTTGGGTAAAAAAATACATATCTTATTTTGCAATCGCACACATTACATGCCATTAGTTCTAATTTGAGCAAATTTTTCATTTACTTTGCACAATGACAATGCAAAACCTCTCAAAAGCCAATAGTAGCCGCCCACACTTTAAATTACATCCCTGCTTATTAATTGTTGGTGGCGAATTTGTAAGTGTGAAGCCGGTGTGAGTCTGCTGCTGTGTTTGTCCATGTGAGATGGGACTGGGGAAGACGATCCAGGCTATCGCGGTGGCCTACATCTACCGCGCCGAGTGGCCAATGCTTGTCGTTGTGCCATCATCCCTCAAGTACTTGTGGATTGAGGAGTTGGAGAAGTGGGTGCCCGAGCTGCTGCCTGGGGACATTCACCTGGTGGAGAACAAGACCGATATCCGGTACTGCCAGCAATACACCTGGCTTAAATGTCCTTTTCTTTGTCAATTTGTAATTAATAATTGTGTCTCTTTCCATCGCCCGGTGTTGCCAAGAATTCAATGAATTTCCCTCGAAGCTGGCCACACTCTCATGGAGCAGCTGGCTTTGCAAGAGCATTCAACCTTTGTTTAATTTGATGCACGACTGTGCTGTACTTTAAGTGAATGGCCACAACACATCACATTTGGCAAAACAGTAGGGTTCCCAATTGTGTGATTGTGCGGTAAAATGCCAGCCAGGGCCAACTCGGCCCTCGCCTCCCTTTGGGGCATTTAAACTGCACACCACCTGGTGAAAACGCACCTCTCCGCAGGAGACCAGCGGTGCTTCTCCCATGGATAGATTTTTTTCCCGTCACAGTTTCCATCAGAAGTCAGCAGATGTGAGCACTGCTTGGCATTTGCTTTTTCTTTTAATTTTACCGGGTAAGGCCCACTGAGCTATATCACTCTTTTTAAGTAACAACCTGGCCTCAAATGATGGGTCAACGAAGTGGCATATTTTTGTGGACATTTATTAAGAGCAGCCAAATACTTTAAACGCATGTTTCCAAATGTGGAGGGATATACTGGAGGACCCCGAGAAAAATCCACACAACTACAGGGAGAACTTTTAAACTCAAAATATACAACAGGTGTCAGGGTCGGGAACTAACGTACAACCTTCTGCATACCAGGTGAGGTAGTTAACATCTCGCCACTGCTGCGAATTTGGGGACACTGACTTCTTGATATGCCTTTTGGTACAAAACAAAGAATGTGAAAACATGACCTGGAATGACGGCAATGCAATTCTCTAAACCCTTTAACCCCTTTAAATAGTGTAAAGAGAGGAATGACATTTTGGGTTCTCCAGCAGATTAGGACAAGAGAGATTTATTTTTCCCTTTCCGCTCAATTCTGACACAGGTACGAGGGGTAAGTTTTTCATTTGAGGCGTGTGAGCACTTTTGTCCCCTGACCTAGCTCAGTGGGATCCTCGAATGGCAGGAAATAAATTAATTAAAACAGGGGCTGGTGGCAGGGCGACAACAGATGCCGCCACAGTGAGCGGCTGCCACACTCAATTTGCCAAGCTGAATGTAAAACGTGGTCATGCGAAGGTGGAGTGGATGCATTGAGGTTTTGTGCCTGCAATGTTGTGCTCTATGAAGCTTAATAAGGGACTAAACATTAAAAGTTCAATGTTTTTTTGTCTTTAGCTCAATGGCTAGTGCCTTGGCTCTACCCAGCCTAAAATTAATATTAAATGCATGGCAAATTTTGGGTGAGCGCCCTTCTCAAAAACTGGGCAGTATTAGTGACCGAGGCATGAGGATTTCTAGTTTTCCGCTTATCCATCTCTGTCAACACAGATCCTGCTCATTATCCATCTCTGTCAACACAGATCCTGCTCATTATTTGTGTGGTGAAGTACACCCGTGAGCCACTGTTTTGGAGGCGAGGGTTAGTGGATAGCATAGGTTTGCGAAACATTGACACTGGCGGGGATGTTAGGTGGCTGGGAGATGGGAGTACAGCCAATGGATTCGTGAATCCACCTGTGCACACCGTTGAGAATAATCCCTTACTATGCATTGAAATCTTCGGCTTTCCTCACATGTGCAAACAAATGAAGGAAAAATAATTAATAAGACTGCCTGCAAAAAAGTGTGGACTCAGATCAGTTTTCTTGGATACATATATTGCATTAATATTTGTGTTTATCTGATTTTGTGACCGAGCCATTTTAAGGTGCACACACATGTCTGTACAGCCCTTTTGTCAAACCATTGTATGTATATATATATTTATGCATGTTGAACTTGTTTCTGTGTTGTGGAGCTTATTTGACCAACACTGGTCAGTGGGGGTTGGTAATTCGGGGTGCATAGACGTCCGGAGCATGGTACAGTGCTGTAAAATATTTTGCTTTACCACCCGCTACACACACATGTCCAGGTAACAAACTAAATTGTCCCTGATGTCAAGTCGGACTTTTGCAGACTGCGGGTAATGGTATTTGTCGCGTGTGCGCGCACGTTATGACCAACAGGGCTGTCACAGAGAGCCGAGTAACAGTCCTGGGCTACGGCCTGCTCACCGCTGATGCCACGCTGCTTGTGGAGGCGCTGCAGCGGCGCCGCTTCCAGGTGGTGCTGGTTGACGAGTCGCACTACATGAAGACGCGCACTGCCACTCGCAGCTGCCTGCTGCTGCCGCTCGTCCAGGGGGCGCGCCGAGCACTGCTGCTTACTGGAACGCCCGCCCTCGCACGCCCCGAGGAGGTGCACCTCACTGACCACCTATCCCATCCCCCCCCCCCCCACACGCACCCCCCCCCTAACTTTTTGAATTTATTTTATTTACTTAGCGTGTAAAGATTTACTCTAAATTATATTTGTGTCCCCATTTTTGTACTTGTGGCTCCCTGACCAAGTCACCTGGAATGTACCTGATCACGTCAGAATCTCGACAAGCTAAGCAGGTCGGAGCCTAGACAGTGCTTGAATGTGGAACTATCATGTACGAATAGGTTGTTATAGACATAGGGGCTACGTGGTGGACAGCTGAGGGCAGTGTAGCAAAATCCATTGCTCTCGTGTATTTCTATGCTCCCACGTTTATATTCTCCTGCACCATCCCACGCAGACCAGTGGTGAATTATGGTCAAATAAGCCCCACGACTGAAAGGCATGGGGAGGCCTTCATTCAGCAGTGTAGATTGGTAAAAGATCTGTACATGCAATGTCCTCGTGGTCCCATGATGTAATACTTATCGAAGACTGATGTGGTGTTTTGATTTCAAAGCTGTACATGCAGATTGATGCCTTGTACCCAAATCGGTTTGGCAAGTGGACCGAGTATGCCAAGCGCTACTGCGACGCACGCATGAGGTGAATACTCTTTGCTTACCTTGGCACACGCTAAATTGGCAATTTTATTTTCATTACCCCTTTATGAAACTGTAATGTGATCTCATTATGCCTTCACATAGAAGACATTGACGCGTTCTTGTGCCATTGGCGAGCCGTTTATGCACTGCGATGGGGCGAGCGGTGGGAGTTGTGCGCGATCTCGCTCGTGCGAGCACAAACGTGCGCTCTTGCCATCCAGGTTTTTTGGCCGCGGTAATCGGAAGTGGGACTTCAAGGGGGCCTCCAACCTGCAGGAGCTGCATGGGCGGCTCAACGCATTCATGATCCGACGGCTCAAGGATGAGGTGCTTACGCAATTGCCCCCCAAGATCCGCCAGCGCATCCCCTTCGACCTCTCGAAGGAGGCCACCAGGGTGAGTGAAATGATCGTGTAGGTGTTCACGGTAGCGCTGTATAGATCTTGGATGCATTTTCGTGTTATATCCTGTGTTGATCGGCATGATGTTCGACGTTTTGCTACACGTGCTGGGAGATTCTTCAGGAACTGAATTCCAAGGTTGCTCATTAGTTTCATTTTGCATAATATGTTTAACCATTGTTTTTAACCACCTGTGCCATAGAGAAACCTTAACACCATTGAATTATTATCCTTCAGAATTGTACGTTTGTATATATCAATAGATTGCTGATTATATATACAAGAGAAATTTGCGAATGTGTCTGTTTGAAATGTTTAGCATACTTCCCAACATGCAACAAAATTTGGCATGCGGGTAGCTTTCAGACTGTACACAATGCAAAAAGTATAAAAATAGACTTTTGTATTTTGGCGGGGATGGGGGGGCGCAATAATGGATATATTTTGCACGGCAAGTGAGCGGTGACGTCACATCTGTGATGTCACCCGCATGCAGCAGCGTTACGCAGTGTGCCTGCTGACGTCACGCATCCCCCCCCCCCATCCTCCGCGTAGGCCGTGTATTAATCCAAGACAAGAATCCAAGTCTCGGGCGAAGCCGGGTAGTAAAGCTAGTTTGTAATAATAACTCGTGAAACTAGGCCACTGCAATATAGCCAGTATCCTCTGAAGGCCGTTGGGGGATATTGTCATTTTCTTTGTATGAATGAGATTTCCCCAAGATTGAGAATGTATGTGCGGGGTGTCACCGCAGGAGTTGAATACGATGCTGGATGAGTGGGAGGCACTGCTCAAGCTTGTCAGAAGCAACAGCTGCCCTACCAGCAGCTTTGTGCAGGTCATGAGCCTGATTACTCGTCTTTTCAAACAGACAGCTGTGGCCAAGGTGAGTGGGGAGCTTATGCGATGTCAGCCTTTGTTACAATAATACAGAATTACTAATGGTCTTATTTACCCTACTGAATCTCAAAACTTTTTTAATGAGGATACTAATTGGGATATTTGGCCAATTCCATATTGATTATTTCCATTGTTTTATTAATGAACTGGATTAAACCCACATGCTAAACAAAAATTCTGACGAATAAATCGGTAACCTACTCACTATACTTGCTGTACAGCCGCCTCCAGGCCACCACGTGTGTCTAGCGCTTGTGATGGTTACATGAGCTACCAACCCTGCCTCTGAAGCGCTGCGCCATGCACGTGCAACGCCGTGCTTCGTTTCGCCACTGTACATTAAGTGAGACAAACTGCCCATTGCTGCCTGGTTTTCTGCCCCCTGCATCTATTGAAGCATATTGCAAAGATGCATCAGCTAGGCAAGCCGTGTCCTGGAGCATACACACTCACTCTTGTGTTGAGTGTATGTGTATATATATTTTTTGGGTCTTTCGGTAAAGTCACGTAGATAGGTTCAAAGAAAATAACAAAAAACTTCGACGTTTCGATCGCAACACAAGCGGTCGTGATCAGGAAAAGGGGGTTGGCTTCTAAAGGCAAACTGTTCATAAAGGTTTAAAAATGGGCGTTGCCCAAGTTTCAGCAGCATGGGCGGGGTAGCTAATGTTAATGTAAGGGATTAAAATCGGTGTGCCCCCAGCATGTAGGGGGGTGCTAGAAGGTGATGTAGGGCGGTGCAAGAGGTGATGGTAGTAGTGTGCAATGATGGTGCTGGTGGTGGGTTTCCACCAATTATAGGGCTGCCAGGTAATCATTGGACCTTGCTTTACACACTCACACTGGTGACGGTGGAGGTTGCTGCTAGAGGTGATGGTAGTAGTGGGTAGCGATGGTGCTGGTGGTGGGCTTCGACCAATAAAAGGGCTGCCAGGTCTAAAATGGAAACATTACAGCCAGTTATGACTTAAACTGGTTGATAACGTCCTTCCAGTGATTGCTGAGTTTGTACCCAGCTTCTCGGTTGAAATTGTGCCTATGTCTGTATATATGGATGGCTTCATGAACAAATCTTTGTTGATAGCCAGTGGGTTTGCAAAGTACCTTCGTCTTAGAGAAATTTATTTCATGTGAGCCCACCGCATTAAAAGAATGATCAGCCACGGCCGAGGTATTGGTCCTACCGTGTTTCAGATCTGCCGTATGTTCACGAACACGGTCCGAGACATGTCGCTTAGTTTCCCCAATGTAACTACCGCCGCAGACACAGCTTAGTTTGTATATGCCGGGGTATTGCATGTCAGGGATCACATCCTTCACAGATGGGATCAGATCACGAATTTTAGGTACTGTGTTAAATCGAACCTGGATCTTGTGCTTGCTCATGATTTTGGAAATATTTTTAGTGACCCCTGCTATGTATGGCAAGGTGATGGTTTTGATTGGGTCCTCAGATGGTTCTTTCCCAATGGTTGGGGTGATAACTTTACGGATTGTGTAGTCTGAATATCCATTCGTCTTGAGAGCTTGGTGTATGTATTCCAGTTCATTGGCTAGGCAATGATGGTCGGAAATACATCGAGCTCTATGGTGTAGAGTTTTGATGAGGGAATTCTTCTGGGATGGATGGTGGTGGGAGTCAGGTTTTAGGTAGGTATCCGTATGGGATTTCTTTCCTGTAGACAGAGTGGCCCATTGAGCCATCTGGTCTCTTTTCGATTAAAACATCCAAGAATGGTAGCTTGCCATTCTTTTCCACCTCCATTGTGAATTTGATGGCTGGGTGTATTGAATTAATGTGGTTGAGGAATTGGTTCAGAGCTGGTCAGCCATGTGGCCAGATGAAGAACGTGTCATCTACGTATCTCTTCCACAAGGACGGACGTGGAGTGGATGCCTGGATGGCGTCTGTCTCAAGTTTTCCATGAAAACATTGGCTACCACCGGAGTTAAGGGAGAACCCATTTGGGTACCTTCAACTTGTTTGTAGAATGTTCCATTCCAGGTGAAGTAAGTAATCAGTAACAGTAATTTCTGACAGCCTCAAAAACAGGTCTAGCTAAAGGGTTGAATTTCCATGATTATCATTATCCTTGATCCCCTGCTGGATGTAGACCTTCCAAACCCATAACTATCTTTCACGATCTTGCAGGCTATAATACATGCTTCAAAAATATATACGTTCAATAAATCATTATAAAATAGCATGATAATGTATATCTGTTTTCCATTCATGGGAACTTAAAAACTATGAATTTGTGAACTATTCACTTTGTTATATTTTTCACATAAGGTGCATGAGCATTGGAAATTTCTGTTTTGGATTTTCTATGGAGAACACGCTGCCAGCCATAGCAATGTGGAATTCAGCCACTGCGTCAGGGATGCCCACAGAGATGAGCATACACCCACACTCTCCTTAACCTTGATTTAATCTGTACACACACGACGGTATACTCTTGATTATACATATTGAGAGGATCTTTTGTGTGTATAATACATTGTGTTGCAGTGAATAGAAACATGTGAAGGAGAAGTCTCCTTATTAATTTAGTTAATACCACAAATAAGATTGTTATTTTATTTTCTTTGAACCTATCTACGTGACTTTACCGAAATACCCAAAGAATATTAATTCCTGCAGTCACGAAAGCTTTAAGTCAAGATTTTTTGCGTGTATATATTACTTTCTGTAAGATGTCTTGGAGTAGTTTGTTTCGAAAGGTGCGGTGTTAATTCATATAAGCAAATAAACCGAAATGTGCTGAGCACAGTAGAAACACGATACGGTTTGGATGGATGTGCTACCACAACGAAATTAAACAGGTGTAGTAGGCTGCTGTGGGACCACATTGTCAACAAGGGTGCAGGTCAGCACAATCAGTTGTTTACTTTGCTCGAACATCTATGCTCCCTTCCTTCAACAGATCAGTGTAGTGAAGTATGGTCAACTAACCCCCATTAGGTGCTTTGTGGGGAGGCCATCATCCAGCAGTTTTAAGGGCTTTGTGTGTACATTTACTGTTCATGTAATGTATTATTGTTCTTATTGTTAATCTCAGGCCGGAGCAGTCAAAGACTACATTAAGATGCTTCTGGAGAATGACTCCATTAAGTTCCTTGTGTTTGCACACCACCTGGTGATGCTGCAAGCCTGCACGGAGGCCGTGGTGGAGAGCAAGGTACTGATTCGCTCTGCACCCCACTCTATTGTGTCTGGTCAGGTGAGGGCTCTGGCCTGCTCAGTTTAGATGGCAGTACACAATTCATCAATGCCATTACTGTGAGTTGCTGATCTATTCATAGGCTTGTTCTAGTTCCTCCAAAGTTCTTCAACATGAATCAATTATAAGTAAAGTATTGGCCATATATTCCGTCATCCAACATGAGCCGATACCTTGAGTTCCACTTTGGAGAAGGTGCACTGTACTATGTACTCAGCGACCTGAGTTCAATTCCCAGTGACTGCTCATATCATTGGTGAGGGATATCTGAACCTGTTATGGGCACCACCTTCGGCAACCTGTACTGACCAGCGAGGTGAGGTATGGTCAAACAATCCACATTACCAACACGGCATCCTGCAGTGGATTGAGAAATGGCTGTCAATTGTTATTACTTTTTAATATTGTTTCCGCAGTTCAACATTGGTTGTACTACGTATGGCTTTGTCCTTGTCATCGGAATGAGGAATATGTGCTGCTGATTCAGGACTGGCAATGTAAATTATCACCTACCAGTCCTCGTTTGTACAATGGGTTACAAACATTCTCATATGATAACTTATTTAAACAGTCTTCTGATCCACCTGCACCTCATCTGCATGAATAAAGGATTATGTTTACTGTGCACAGTGAAATTCCTCGCCTCCGCTCGTGCCGCGTCACCACAGTGTGTGTTGCAGGTGCGCTACATTCGCATCGACGGGAGCGTACCAGCGGCTGAGAGGAGTCGACTCGTCCACCAGTTTCAAAACGACGCCAGCATTCGCGTCGCTGTGCTCAGCATTAAGGCCGCTGGGCAGGTGCTGGAGTGCGTACGGGCATCCCTGTTAATCCCATCGCGTGGGCCGACCTCACGGCTCGGCTCGTTCATGTTTCTTTTAATTGAGCATATTGTCTGCAATTAATCAATTTTCCATAACTGAGGATCACAATTAAATTCAAGGTTTAAACTTGAATCAAGATTAAAGATTCAAATTATCTTGTTTGTGTTTTTTTGTCTTGCTTGTTGTCTGTCTTATTTGATTCAGCTTTGCGGTAAAAAATGTGTGTAACGTTTGCGTAAATGGGAAATAATTCATACGAAAAAAATGGATGGCTGAAGACCCACCTATGTAAAAAGGCGTTCCCTCCCCTAAGTTCTCAATCTTGTCCATAGAGTATTTCTCTCTGGTTTATTTTTTCTCATTTTCCTCTTTTACACGCATGGCCTTCTTGAGATCTGTTGTTTAAGGATGCCTTATCTAAATTATTATGATTAAAAGTAAGAGCGGAGCATAACCGGTGAATCTTTTGTGTACCTGGTGCTCACCTCCAGGGTCTGACGTTCACGGCGGCCACGCACGTAGTGTTTGCCGAGCTCTACTGGGACCCAGGCCACATGAAGCAAGCAGAGGATCGCGCCCACCGCATCGGCCAGTGCAGCTCCGTGCACATCCACTACCTCATCGCCAAGGGCACGCTTGACTCTCTTCTCTGGGCCATGATCAACCGCAAGGTGCCTAGTCTCGCCCGGGGTGGGAGGGTCTTGCCTTGAAGTTGGAAGCGCGCGTGCAGTTGTCACTCAACGTGAGTGAGTTGGGTTACATTTGTAATGAGTTATAAGTGGGGCAGTTCGAAATGTGATTTAAAACATCATTATTTTGGACGGACGCTGTGCCGTTGCCCAATGTAGATGCGTACGCAGTTCGGAAAATTGAAAACGAATTTCTTTAGAGCTGCTCTTCGTGTTTAGCTCTTCCCCCGAACCTCCGAATAGCACGATTGAGCTGCGTACGGTGCAAAAGAAGTTCAACATACATGCATATGTAATGATTCCCTGCTTTATTGAACGAGTACAATTTTGTAGTTAAGTGAACAGCGGTTGTCCTTCGGAGAGACTTGCCCCCACCATTGGATGTGGAATTTCCACCACTGGCTCAGGGCTGTGAATGGGAGATAAGCAATGCCTCAATGCTCTTTTGAGTAGGAAATCACTTTAATACACACTGCACAATAATCTCAGTTTCCTAGTCATACGGCGGGGAGGTAATCGGCGACGTTAATATCTTCATGTCGAGGTTGCTGAGCCAGTGGATGGCTTGAGGAGGAGCCTGAGGAAAATCTGAAATGCTGCCAGATAATTTTTTTAAGCGGACTGTAGCGTTACTGTGTGGACTGTTGTCTAAATTAATTCCAGGTGCAATGTCGCCAATATCGGTGCTCAAACGGGTGCTGTCGTTCTTATCATTGAGGTCTTAATAAATGTTTGCTGGTAGCGCTTGCTATGAGGTTTCATTCGGCTTAATGGAGGATGCTCGTGTGCAGATATTTGTCACCAGCAGCACCCTGAATGGCCGATTGGAGCAGTTGGGGATGCAGGAGGCAGACACGGACAAGTGCGACTTCCTGAGCCACGCCATGGCCTGGGTGCCCAGTGACACCATTCCTGAAGAAGAGGCCCTTTTCTTTACACAGGTAATAGTGGTTGCTCCGCAGAGGTCCGCCTGTGTTAAACATTGCTCGCCACCCTGCAGAGCTTTTGATTGTTGACTTATATTGTGCATGCAAAGGGACCACAAGTTTGTGTTTCATAGAGAAAATAAGGTCAGCGGTGTGACCTTAGTGAATTTTGTTCTGCATCCTAAATGGCACTGCAGGGAGCCAACAGTTATGAAAGGCGCTTTGAGACCTTGGAGAGAAAAGTGATGCCTAAGAAAATAATAATGCTAAAAATGTGTGTGTGGACAGCGAGAGAAAGACAAGCAGCCTGACATCAGAGGGTTCTTTAAGAAACCAACTACACCCAGAGTGAAGGCAAACTCAGATGGGGGTTGTGACGATGAAAGGGAAAACGGCAGCGTGGACACGGCATGGGATGCGCGTTCTCCCCCGAGTGAAGAAGGTGTCGACGAGCCTGCAGATGGTGACGGTGCTTCTCTGGACGGATTGAGACTCTTATCGAGTGGGAAGAGGGGGGTTCCTGAAGGAGAGGAGTTTAAGCCGCAGAGCAAGAAATTCCGCCTTCCTATTGCGATTTCTCCCAACACTGAACTGCAAAAGTCCAGAACCCCACCATCCTCAGCATCTCCAGCATCCCCAGCTACGACCTCCCCAATGGCATTGCAAGCCTCCCCCCATGCGGGGCAGCAAACTCGCTTGCCTGCTAAGTCTGGTTCTGCGAGCGCTTTGCGCAGGAAAAGCACTACACGACGGAGGAAAGATCCGGCCACCCAGTGCAGGCCTAAGGGGCCGCAGCGAGGGCGCGTGCTGTTGCCATGCGACGATCGCGAGGACGCGCTGGCGGCGTGGGATTGCAACGTGTGCACGTACAGCAACAACGGCCTCATGCTTTACTGCGAGATGTGCAACACGGTCCGGCCCAGCGGTAAGGCTCCCCGCGGCAGCCACCCAAATGGTAGATTCGTTTTCATTGTATGTAATTCATATACAAGACAGATGGTCAAACACAGTAAAAACAAATTATCCGTTTATTCACAGTGCATTCTTATGTTGAAAGAGGAAGGTAGGTTTATGGTATTGTTTTGTCATCATATTTCAGGGCTTCAGCCCAAAAGTTTTGTACAACAGGATCAGGCAATGTTAAATAGACATGTAAGCGATTCATTCGTGGAACGTACCTTTTTCAACAGAAATTAATTGGGTGCTATTGTTGTTCATTCTAATTTCATAGTTTCATCTTAATCTTGTTTTGCACTTTTTACAATCGTTGCTGTAGAAAGAAAAACTGATGGCGAGCCTGGAGACATCACCGCTGGAAGAAAAAAAGACGGCACAGAGCAGGCCCCGAGGGGCACGCGCAAACATGCAGCGCCATCCCCCGGAAAGTCTGCAGACTCTGAGCCACGGGCATGTTCGCAGGCATGGGGAGAGTGCATATCCGTGTCGGAGAGTGACGATGATGAAGATTCCGTTGCCTGTCATCGACTCGTTGTTGAAGACGAGGTCGGGCAGACGTTGGATCCTGTCAAGCCCGAGACGGACGGTCATAGCTGCCTGCCGCCGACAGTGGTGGGAGAAGCGAGCAGCTGTGCTGAGGATGGGCTGAGTGGCCAAGGAAGCAAAGCAGGAGTCTCTGTCGCTGCTGGGGATGATGCAACCCAGCCAGAACCCACAAGCATGGATGTTGAGAGAGGTATGTTTATGAGTAATGCTTTTGCACCACTACAGTTAATGTTAGCAAAGGCACCGTAACTACATCCCCAATGCATTGAGCATTTTTTTTCTAATATTTGTTTGCCTTGTTATAACAGTGTTTATTTTATACCAGCAATTGTCAGCAGGGGTTTTTTGCATTAATCCATTGGGTGACTTAGTTGTAGTTGTAGTAACCCTGAGTGGACCAGTGATGCAGGTGTTCATGCACTGCACTGAGCAGTGCATGAGCCGACAGTGAAGTATGGTCACATTCAACTCCCATGACTGATACTGCATGACAAAGCCTTCATCCATTAGTAGATTGACAAAAGCTGTAAATTATTGTAAAATCTTTCAACACGAGTCATTTACACGGACAATTATTTCAATTTGTGTCGCTGTGGAGTGGCTAATAAACGTTTCTTGGTCTCCTTCACTTCCCTCCACCAGGCGCTGCGGACGGAGAGGATCCGTGCCAGGTGGACGTGCCTGCATTTGACAGCTTCATGTTCTGTGCCAGCAGGAATACGGACCGTGTGTTCCTCTTCACCACGGTGGGGCCCGGGGCTGAACAGCTGGCGCTTTTTACCACAAACAACCCTTTATTTTTACAGTCCTTGATTTACATTGGGACGAGAAGGCTTTGTTGTTCCTGCTTTACAGTGCTAATATACTCCCAAAAGAGATATTTAAAAGGATGGTTGGCTGCAGTTATTTTCTGTTTTCTACCAGCAGGATGGGCAACCCCTCCATTGTAACTTCATCCCTCTGGACATTAAGCTGGAGAACTGGGATGAGCTGCCAGACATCCTGCAGCACAAACGCAACCTGGTTCTGGTACGCCTGGGAAATTATATATTTTTTTACTTTAGCCATCCTTTATTTGAGCCTGTTAATTGGGCCCCTGCCAAAACTGGTCCTCGTGTTTTCTCCGCGCTGTGACTGTTTCTCAAACGTGGTGGTGGCGGCCTGGCAGGTGCAACGGTTTGTGCGCGAGTGGGACGCCCTCCCGCCCATGAAGCAGCGCATCCTGCGCAAGAGTGGCCAGGTGTTCCGCAGCCCCGCTCTGGCTGTGGAGGAGATTTCCGTGGGCCAAAGGAAGCAGCACTGCACCAAACGGTGATGACCAAACACACAGCAGAGTTGCCATCATTTGTTCTGAGCCGTAGGTGGAACTTCACCTTTACTATGGCAGAGACGAGTCTGTCCATAGAACAGCTGTTGTTGACCTCCCGCCAAGTGGTGCAGTCTCATCAGGCGGTGGTCTTTTTACTGACCCCAGAGGAAAGATGGGCTGCGTCATCTTTGGCTTATTTTAAAATTTGCGAGCTCATAATTTCTGCTCTGACAACTGACCTACATCCCAGTCTTGATGAGCAACGTTACCAAAATAGTGTTTGCTATGTCTAAACTAATTATACATGGACTCAAGTGCCAGTGTTTTTACACGAGATTTGTACTTTGTTGAACATTTTGACAGCATAATTTCATGTCGGTCCTACGAGATGCTCGCCGCTGCCAAGAGTCTTTCTGCCGAGGCAGCGGCGTCATTGTGTGTCGAATTGTTCTGCTGGCATGGGCCTCACCTGGGCCGTGCTGGCCCTGCGCTAGGTTCCTGAGCAAGACGGATGTGGCGGAGCGAGCGCTGACCACGGCCAAGCAAGAGGGCGGCAGCGTGCGGCTCGTGACCAAGCCCGGGGTCAAGCCATTGGACAGGAAGCGCGACCCTGAGCCCACACACGGCACAGAGAAGTGTGTGGCCCCGCGCCACAGTTGGCATTGCCGGACTTGCAATGTTGAAAGGTGGTGGTGGTGCACATGAGCAAATGCATAGGCGTTACCTTGAATCGTAATCAGAATATTGGAGGAATTCGATGAGCTATAAAGCTCTTTTTCACAGATGTCCAGTCCCGGGCAGCAAAGAACGTTACAACAACAAACAGTACAAAACCATGATAGGAGTGCAAAGTACAAGAAAGGTCAACAAATCATCCAAACACATACAAATACGACTAAACCATCCCCATCCTACCAGACAAAGCCCACTGATGTATTAACTTATTTAAAAAAAAAGACCTGGCTACAAATGATAGCTCAACAAAGTGGCGTATCATTTGGACATTTATAGTAGCAAAATAATCTAAATCGTCTAAACGCATGTTTCTAAATGTGGAGGGAAAAACCGGAGGACCCGGAGAAAAAATCCACACGACCACAGGGAGAGCATGTAAACTCCCTCCAAATATATGACTGTGAGGGTCAAAGGTAAGGGAACTCTGTCCTGCACCGCCGTAGGATCACCCTCTCCCCTCCCGCTTTGCTCGTTAAGTTCATCTCAGAGGGATCCTTTGCGTGTCCGCAGTGAGGGCACTCACAGATTGCTTTTTGAGATGAAAAATCTCAAAACAGTCAATAACACTGCCTGCGAAAATAAAAAAAATATCAGGCAACATTTTTTCACAGCATACGGAGAAGGAAGGGTCATTGCCCTAGCATCGTCAATTATATATTTCCTTTTAAGGTAGTGTTAGTGAAGAATGTGAGTTTTTTTTATGAACTGTGCTTGTGCACCATTGCCAACGCATCATCACTAAATAATTATTTATTTAGATGAGCATATTACTTTCTGGGAACATAATGACATAGGTGCACAGTCATGCAATTTCTAACTAACCAGAAAATGCTGTATGGCGATTTGCTCATAGATTCGGTGGATCAGCCCAACATAACTCTTCGCGAAAGCAATTAGGTCAGCTTAGGATACATATCAACATGCTGTTGCTACTATGCCCTCGGTGATACACAACAGGGCGAATGCTGATAAGAAAGTGCCTCAGTCGGCGGCGTCCACCATCCCCGACGCTCCTGGCGTTGACGAGGTGCCCAGCGTGGGGTTCCTGCAGGCTGTGGATGGCTCTGGGCGGCCGCTGTGCCTGGGCTGTTCCAAGCCGACCCAGCGGGCCTCTGCCGCAGCAGGCGCTGCTGCGGGATCAAACCCCGGCACCTCGGCTGCTCTCACTGGCGCCGCCGACTGGGCCACACGATTCTGCTCGCGCGCCTGCCAGGTGTGTGACGTCAGCAGCGGATGAAGGCGTTTTTAGCATGGAAGTAATAATTGCTCATCCAAGACTTGTTTTTTCCAGGATCTTACGTGAAATTATTGGCATGCACGGTGATTTTCATATCGAGTCTTATTTTTGTGGACAAATACCAAAGTTCTGTGCACTTGGAAAGAGAACTTGCAAACTCTAAACATGAAATGAGTCTTAAAATAAATAAAAATAGTTACTTATAGCATACATAGACTTTGTAAATAATATAAGAATATTCTACATGGGCTCTCCCCTGGTTCATTGCAGGGAGTTAATTACTTGATCAGAAGGGGACTGTTTAATCACATACAATGTAGATGATGATTCATGGTGAACGCCTCGCTGCCCTCATCGCTACCACATTAGCACAATTTTTGCCTCGCATTTGTTGGCCGCCACCCCTCCCCCCATCTCGCCGCTCCCCCCGCATCTACCTCCGTTTTCCTGGGCAGGAGGATTTCAACCTACGCTCCTACAACAGCTGCGTGCGCGGGGCGGTGCGCGACGCGGAGCACGGAGTGTGCCGGGCGTGCGGGCTCGACGCGCAGGAGCTATTCTCGCGCGTCCGCGGTACCCCGCGCCCCCAACGCAAGGCCCTGCTGGAGGCCACCGTCATGGCCGTACTCTCCGTGGAGCAGGTGGCGACCACGCACACATGGACGCCCCCCCTGACACCTCCCCCCCCCTGCCTCCGCCTCAACTCGGCGTTTGTTTGTAATGCCACTCAGTCCTCACCGCGATGTAATGTATGCAATTTGCACAGAGGGTTCATAATGGCCATTACAGAACGCTTAGCCGATACTGCTGATGATCCTGGGTTGCAATCTGGGTTTCAGCCAGCAGTGATTAAACCAGTGTCCCAAGTTTAGTGAATGTATGGTCTCAGCCTGGTTTTGTATACCGAGGTTTAATAGCAAAATTGGGATTTTAACTTTATTGAAGGCTTTTGAAAATCTTGCTTGGAATGCCATATGAGGAGAACACTCTTTGCACAGGGTATTTCAATACGGTAATAGGTGAGTGACTGACTGAAGTGACTCAAAAAGTAGTTCTGTGGTTCCCTCTTTCAATGGCCCATGCTTTCACACCATGATCATTTCAGACAAATCAGTTCCTGTCACAAAACGCCATCAGAATCAGCGTTTTAAAAAATATAATTGGTGATAAAATATATTTTTAGTAAAGTACATAACTTTACGTATTCAACATCACCTTGGCGAATGTACAAATATAAAGTTAAGTATTTTTGTATTCCTGATTATGATGTGACATGCCCGTACACTTGCCCCTCCCCCGTGCAACTCACAACAGCTGAATGAGATGATCCGGGAGCCCAGGGCTGGCCAATTCTGGCAGGCTGACCACATCCAGCCCGTGTGGAACGGCGGTGGGCAGTGCCACCTGGACAACCTGCAGACATTGTGCACCGTGTGCCACGAGAAGGTGTGGTGTCGCCAGCAACCCCTGCCACGCCACAGCCTCTGCTTTACAATTGGCGCACATGTTTGTATACATGTTTAGATTCATAACTTTGGGGGTTGAGTGATTGCACCCTGGGTTATTGCACGACGATATGAACCTGGCGACTTAAAATTAGTTGGGTATTGTCTTTCTCTCTGGCAGCACCAACCATGACGCGTATGGTAATTTCGCATGTCAAACAGCATTGCCTTATCCATGCATAAGTCTGAATACTTTTCTGCACACTGCTCTATGGGTGACTTTGCTCCATCGATTAAGTATTCTGACTCGCAGAACAATCGGTAACAATGCACGTGAACTGTCTTTGCTGTCGCAGAAAACCAACAAGCAGGAGGTGGAGAGGAGGCAGATGGTGAAACGGGCGAAAGCTGCGCAATACGGGGCCGACATCACGCTCTTCTTCCAGAAAAAGTGACCGCAAGCCGGGACCTCGGACTAAAGGGGAATCTCGACGGGAGGGAGTTTTGGCACCTGCTAGCGCGGTGGTGACTGCTACAAGCCAGCCCCTGCCATTGCAGCGCACGCGAGGACCGGCTGGTGGAGTCCATGTCACGGGGAACGATATTTGTTCCGTTTAACAGTTGTAACATGCAGAAATTGCTGCGTCTGATTCTAAATAACATAAAGAATGTCCTTTATCTAGCACAGCCACCACTGTGCCTGAAGAGTCGTTGCCAGGAGGCTAATGGTTATATTTTTGGACAGTTATTGAATATTTTAGCATGTAGGAGGGAGCTGAAGTACCTGGAGAAAATTCCCATAGAACATTAAATACCTGAATTATCTGTAGAGGGAACAGATGTACTGTATTTTTCTTACGGTTAGGGTATAAGATATTGCACTGTTAGAATACATTCTAGACTTTTCTTCTTTGGTTCTTTCGGTAAAGTCACGTAGAATGAGAATAAAATAATAAATTGATAAAATAAAATAGATGCGCATGTCTGGAGGACAGTCTCGTCCCTTCACCTGATGAAGGCCGCTTGTGTTGTGGCCGAAACGTCGTGAGAATATTATTGTGTTATTTTATTTTATCAATTTATTATTTTATTCTCATTCTACGTGACTTTACCGAAAGAACCAAAGAAGATGAATCCTTGCAGTCACGAAAGCTTTAAACCGAAATTCTAGACTTTGTTCATTTACAGTTGTATTTCAAAGTGTTTAATTGTTATTGTGGGGCCCTGTGCTTACCTGCATGACCGCACACGCAGCTGAGTATTGCTGCCTCCAGCAATAGGTGGCCACAGTGAGTTGTCTGGAACCATTGTCAATTCTGTTGTAACATTGCTTCATTGTGTACTCTGCAAACATACACTGGAGGCTGTTATATCGTCAAAATATGAATTCGGGTCTTGTCGAACCAATTAAGAAAATAGTATTTTTTTACAAATAGGGAACATTTGCACAAATGGGCAAATTCTATATCAATATTAGATGCGCATTAGCTGTACCCTCGTGTGTTTTGTAACATAAAACATTTTTGAGTACATTTTCTGTAAAATTTGTTCTCAAGTTGTCTTGTCTTTGCAATTCGCATTTTTCATCCCTTGTCCTAACAATGTTTAATAATGTTTTGGCCGACCACTATTACTCTCCCTACTTGGTATAAAGTGTCCATAAAATTTCAGGTTATGGTCAAATAGAATTTTCTATCTTATGCAATACATTCATTTACAGCGTTTCAAAATATTATAAACTGTGGCTTATAGTAAATCACTCGAGTATGATTCACACATCCTTATATGCAGATAACTTCACGACCATTTGCAAATCGGTTCAGAAAGTCAGGTGAGTTTATTTATAAAGCTTACATACGTGGTACAATTTAGCAATCGCTATATATTAACACACTGGTCCCTTAATGCCTATACAGAATGCATTACGTAAACACAGTATTAAACCTTTAATGCCGACTACATAAGTCCACCTGTCTAAACGTTTTAAAGCGGTAGTGCAGGTGCGTTGCTCGCTAACGCAGCTAGCTCGTATGAACAGCAAACACAGGTTTTATTTATTAAGCCGCACGGCGATCCACGTCTCCATGTGTCTGATGGTTAAATGTGAGCGTGAGGCTTGGGCCTATTCAGCAATAGTGAGCAGATGCCAGAGTCAGTAAAATACTGCTATTTGTGGAGCAGCAACCCAAATGATGGTTTTACCTCAACCAATAGGTGTGACATGCAAATAAATAGATGGTGATGTAACGGACAAAGTGGCAGGAGAAAGTCCTGTCGTGTTCAAACCCATTTAAACGTCTTGACCATCCTTTACGTTGATTAAAATGGCTGCAAATTCCCTCGCCTCATGCCACACTGCCATGGTTACCAATGTTTGTGTTATTGGTTTCTATATTTTTGGAACCGCTTCATAAATTGGTTTTCGAGATGTTCTTAAATCTCATTGTTTATTGACACAAAGGGCTAGTTTTTAAAAACTATAAATTGGATTATTTAACGTCAGTGAACAGTTTAAATAGGTTTCAGGAAGTGTGTTTGCATTGAGATTTTCTTTTCACAACACTGCCATTGCCACGGAGGAAGCAACGCGGATGATGGAGATTGAGGTCTATCCTGTACTCCAGCCTGTTGGGAATTTCCATTGCAGTACCCCCCCCCCCCCCAGCGATGCCATCGCAGCAGTGGCCAAGCGAATGCAGAGTGCCAGTGTGTAAACTGGCGCCGCAGACGGCCAACGGGACGGGGCTCGAGAATCAGGGCAGCGACTCCGCTAGCGGTGAAGAGGCCGGCGGCGGTCGGCAAAGTGCCTCTGTATGTTCATGGTGACCTCCCGGTGCAGGTCGGTGTGGTCGCCGGCGCCTCCGTCCGACACCCAGGGGTGGTGCAGCGCTTGTCGCGCAGTGTAGCGCCGCGCCGTATCCACCACGAGCAGCCGGCTTACCAGGTCCTTGGCCGCTTCGTGACCAAAAGTGCAACAACGAAGAAAAACTATTTGAATTCCGGTGGTCGTGTTTTAGAGCGCATGCTGACTGGGAAATACCCTTGTAACATTTAAATTGTCACAAAAATGCTTTGTTAATATACTACGTTGAATAGACCCAAGCCAGAGGGTACTGTTGTGGGAGGATGACAAGTTTAATTCTCAATTGGGTCAACTCGGCCCATATTAAGTAAATACAGTTCTTACCACTGAGAAGTCATCAGTCGTCCGTCCTATTGGTCGGCATGGCCCTGACATAGAATTGTGGAAATGTGTCCATCACTGGCCAAGGGCTCTCAAGAGAGACCACTCCACCCCCAATGCTCATTTGAGCAGGAACACATTTTCGATTTAATTCAGAAAAGACAATAGCTCATTTTTTTTTTTTAGCAAGGACTTCCTTGAGACGTTCACCACTTCCTAACTTTGCGTTTTTGTAAATAGTTTGCAATTGAAAGGACAAGATTTGTGAACAATGCGTGTTTGACCCCTGGCGGATGACACTTGTGAATCTGTGTCCTCGGTGACCGTGCCAGCATTTTGCACGTGCGTGAAAAGTCTCACCGTCGGAGATGTGGTCCCAGTAGGGTGAGAGAAACTCGTACTCCCCGAGCTGGATGATCTCAAAGAGCTCCTCCTGGTCACGCTCCAGACTGCGGAACGGCGGGAAGCCGCACAGCAGGATGTAGGTGATGACGCCGGCAGCCCACATGTCCACCTCGAGCCCGTAGCCTGGGCGGAGTGAGCCCACGCGAAGCATGACCACACAGACCCTTCAGCTGCCGCTGCTGCTGGCAGTGAAACTCTACATCTGATTTGTACCCCCCTTGCAAGGAGTCAAGGATGTATCCGTGCTTCAGTGTTAGATGGTGATTATCTACATGGGCAGTCATCTGAGCCAGTGGTGGAACTTCCAGATTCCTATTGCAAGGACTGAGCTTAACACGTAGACTTTCGCGGCCAATATCATCCATAAGAGGTTTGTAAATATATAAATGTGTCGTTATACCCGCCACCACCCGACAACCAATTAGTAAGGGTTGTCACGTAAACAGAACATGCCAATTCGTCACTAGTACAGCACGCCGGTGTGTTGGAGAGCCAAGCCACATTTACAATCTGGCTGTTGCCTGATGAAGCTAGTTGTGATTACTAGTGAAACGTCGTACTCCGATGGTAGATGTGGCTTGGCTCCCCAACACACCGGTGTGCTGTACTAGTGACGAATTGGCACGTTCTGTTTACGTGACAACCCTTACTCGTTGGCTGTGTCGGGTGGTGGCAGATTTTAACGACACATTTACGCGATAAAACCCAAAAAAACGATTGAAGGACTGAGCTGTTTGTAGAACAATAGCCTTTGACGTCTTGCAAAGTCGTAATTGCTTTATTAACACGAGAGAGAGATGGTCGACTGAGCCTACCCTGAATCAGAATTTACAATTGCAACCTTATTCAATTTATTTAAAGTATTATATTTCACATGTGGTAACATGTTTAGGAAATTTAATTCAAGTTTGCTAGTATATACCTGTACTCTGTTCCCTTGTTTTCGTGTTCTTTGCTTGAAAGGACAGCAAGTCATATTGCATGACGCCTGTGAAAATGGGCTGTCACTGGTTTATGAAGTCCACTCGCGACTTTAGTTGTTTGTTAACTATTTTAAATTATTTCCACTGTGTTTGGAGTGGTTCAGTGCTGTACAGATATCACACCATGTGTTCTCTATCCTGTGCTTTGTCGAGTTATTTTTCAACCAGAGTCTTAAAAAATAACTTTGCTCTGGATTAAATTTTCGCAGTACATTGAAAAAAAATGACGCGTTTCGAACGTTGCGCAGTCGTAGAAACGCAACTGTGCCACTGCTGCCAAATGTCACACATCCTTAAACACGTGCGGTGAACCTCCGCGCGGCTGCGATCGTGGTGTTGCCGTGCGTAGTCTTGATTATAAAGTGCACGTGGGTTATTTGTTAAGAGCCTTGGCAAGCACTGTAAATACATGGGAACACCGGGGCAACTGAGGTCTGTGTGAACTTTCTCGGCAGCCAGTTCACATTGAACGATTCTTGAGCAGCAGGTGGAGACGGGGCCCTTGGTCCATCGAGCAACGCTTTGTGCACCACTCGAGGGCCGTGAAGGGCCGCCAAGGAGAGAGACGCAGGCCCTCCATACGCAGTTCGTCTTCCACGTCTTACAGAGCCAGGATGTTGCAGTGCCGCCTGGCGGCTGTGCTCTGTTCAAGGAGCTCGATTCCAAAAAGAATGCGTTCATCATGAGTCCTTGCTCGGCTCTGATGAAATGGCGCTTATTGATTAATGGACGGTGAAATGAGGTAACTGTTAGGGAGGGAGTTTTGGCACCGTCTTTGCATATACTTTAATCAGGCGATTGGCTTCATTTGCATGCGATTTTAATACTGCAGTGATGTAAATATCACGTTTATCAAAGTGTTATTTGAATTGATAATTAAACGTATTTAAAATGCATTTGTTTAAAACCAAATTTGGAAGTCCGATGCAAATTTTGGACACTGTTGGTCCTTAATTTACAGGATATTGTAAGTCACTTAGACATTCTAGATTTAAAGCTTTCGTGACTGCAAGGATCCATACTCTTTGGTTCTATTCAGTAAAGTCACGTAAAAAAAAGTGTTCACTCCAGCGCTGTCCTCTAGACAGTCTGGTCCCTTCACCTGATGAAGGCCACCTGTGTTGTGGCCGAAAGGTCGTGAATTTTTTTATTTTTTGTTTTTTTTACGTGACTTCACTTAGACATGTCTGTGTAGCCCAACACTGGCTGGGGTTTCAATGGAAGAACAACAATTTACGCTCGATCTTGTTTAGATAAAAAAAAACATCTGCATCTTACACCATAACCCGGTCTCACGATCATGAACCCGACTCAACCCTATGGCATTAGAGTTTGAATTAACTTTTCTACTGTTACATTCCCTCACATGGATGTGTGTATTGATGAGACCACGCTCGTTCTTAGTGAGACGTGGACTCTGCGAGTGTCCACTGCATTC